AAGAAATCATCAGAGCCCCTAAATGAGGCAGAAATTTGAAAGTAAAGGTTGTTATTGACCTTGAGTTAATGGAGATGGGTGGGCAGGATAATGATGGAAGAGGATTTCACAGATGAAATCAGAAGTCTTACACCATGGGTAGGACATCAGCAGAGATCCTACAACACGTGATTCTATGTTAACAATAACGTAAACATATAAACAAGAAATATAAAATACAGATGAACCAAGATGGCATAATAGTGTTTCACCTATCAAAAGTCAGTTCGTACGCTGCTCAGTTGACACAAGAACGTGAGCGTTCAGAACCTGGAGATTACTGTGAAAACAGTATATGGGAATCTGGATACATGTGACTTCTGAGGCCTTGGCATGGGGCTAGACCAACTTGAGATGGTAAATACCCACCATATTTCCAAGTCTGGAAAAAAAATTATAAGATAAGAAATTATGTTGTGGTAATAGTTATACAACCTGTGCCTATGCTAAAGTCATCGAGTTATGTGCCTGGAGTTTTATGATATGTGGATTATATCTCAATAAAGTTATTAATAAATAAAACTGTCTCAATGTTTCACATGGTTTACATTTGGAATTATAGTATCTTCAATATGTTAATTGAAAATATATTCAAGTTATTTATTCTGTTTATTCTTTTTCATAAGCAAAGCTATGAGAAAATGTAAAATTACATGTGTGTTTTGCATTTGTCCCTTATGTTATATTTATATTACAAATAACTGTACTACTGAGGATCTCTGCAGCATGAACCCATATATTATATGTTGATAATAATAACTCCTTAAGCTACTAGAATTTTATTTGTTTTTTGCTTTTACTTTAATACAAAAATCTTAATGTCTGAATCTCCTTTTTAAATTAAAAAAACAAAGGCCCTATCCTGGATGGAAATATTTCCTTTAGCCATCTGAAGTAATTATTTTATCACAGTGTCATTTTCATACCTAAACCTCTGTATTTCAGGAATATTATTTCCCCTACTTATGCATTTTAATATTTGTTGATGGAACTTCCATCAACATTATCCTCATTTAAAATTGGTTTGTTCACAACCATATATTTGTTTTTCCAAATACATACAATTACTGTATACTTTTAAAAATTTCCTTCAAGATCTTGCTCATTTTGAAGAAAACTTGAAAATTATTTGGGATAGAATTGGTATGCTGATCTTCTAATGACATAATTTTGTATTTCCAATCCTGCCGATTTAGTTTTGCATTTTTAAAATAAGTACTTTATTAAGTTTTTTTACATTGATCTAATTAATCTCATTATCCTTTATGGCTTCTTCTTTTTTATTAAGGCTTCATAGTGGTAGAAATATCCAAAGGTAATAGAAAGGAAAGTTTAATATTGGTTATCTTTTTTCTTATTTTTTGGTTCTTTTGTGTTATTTGTTGCTATTAAAATTGTGAGCATTTTTGGTTTCAGTAAAAACTCATACTTGTGGTATGCATACATGTATGTATATAAAAATACACATATACATATATTAATATTATTTTAATATTATTTATTTAATAAATAATTATTTATAATTATTTAATATTATTTTATATTAGTTTTCATGCTAATTATTCTATATTGCCAAAATACCAATTTGCATAAATACATTGTACATTCACTCTATAGAGTAGTTTTTACTTACTTTTTCATTACAATAATTTGAAAAAATCTGCCCAAGTTAGCATTAAATAGCAAATAAGTTTCTATTTCAAAATTAAGGATGTAGGATATACCTTTCTAAATATTTCTGTGTAAAATGGTAAAGTCGATAGCAGTTTTCCATAGCAAATGCGTTTAGAGGTGTTATTGTTGGCATTTTGAGTATTATGTTCCCTGGTACAACTACAAAATTCACTTTAGGAGCCTCATTTTTCCTTATCCGTTCACTTCTGTATTTTTAAAAGTCTATTCAGGATTGTTTTATACCTATAGTCATGCTTCTTGGAGGGAGAGAAGAGTCAGCAGTTGGTGATGTGACCACAATCTCACTGGAATTTTCCCTTGTTTGCTTTGCCAAAGAGCAGTACCTTACCCATGCCGAGTACTGCACAGATATGAAATTAATCAAACATTATGCCTTACAGTTATTGTATGGAAGCTGCAACATATTGGACAAAATAGTACATTGGTCATTAATTAGTTAATCTGATTGCCAGTACATGAGGTCATTTCAAGTATTAGCTTTTTGCTTTAGTTTGAATTTCATTTAGTTGTACTAATTTATCACACTTGACTTCCATGTCCAAATATCAAATGATTTGACATGGATATTCTAATTCATAAGTCATTAAAACAGCTAATGTCACCTTCATGTAAACGAAATGGAAATACTTGCAAAAATTTTCCACTTACTGAGATTCATTTACCAAATGTTGAAATTATTAGCAAATGATGGTGACTGAATTATACTTCTTGAACAGTTAGACTAGCAAGGCATGAAGATAGAAATATATATCTGATCATACAGGTGGAGAAGAAAGCAGAATTTTGATAGTAAGGACATTTTTATTAATGATTCTCAAATTTGGGGATGGAGGAATGTTTCAGGTGGTAGAGAACTTACTTTGTGAGCCTGAAGCCCTGAGTTCAAACTCCAGTCCCATCACAAAAAGAAAAATTCTCAAATTTGTAAAGCAATGAGCAAAAATTTTTACATATAGACCAATTCTGGAAATCTGAAAATGTTTATAGTCTACATTTTCCCATGCATTGGCAAACACATATTACACTACTCTACATTATTTTATTTTCTACTTCTTATTGGAAATTGCTTGATAGCTTGTAATCAGTGAAAAATAGAAACATAAATATATGTTTGTGTATTGATTATTTATTATTTAAATCTGCATTATCACTTTATAGTGTTGCTTGGTGTGCTTACATGTATTATATTTATGTTATCTCAGACACAACATTCAGAAAAAGGTGTTTATATTTCTCCTTGACTTTCCTGGAAAAACAAGATTGAGAGATACAATAGACTCATTGACAAAGTTCTATGAAGAGAGTTTGAGCTAGGATAATTTTATTCCATAGTGTATAAACCATAAGATAAACTTAAAAATTCCTATTTAAACACTTTCTTACCTGTAGTGGTAGGATCTTCTTTCCCATATACTGTAGCAGGCAGAGTAAGTTGTGCAATAAAAGAAGTAGCGTTGCTGACAATTTTTGTAAGTTCAAAGAAATTATTACTTTTTTGAGTCCATTGGCAATCATGCTTGCTCAGATAGTTTCTGGATCACAGGAGCTGGGACCAGTGGAGCCTCCAAGATCCTCTAAACAAGATCCTAGAGCAAATTCTGATTTTACAGCTAATGTCTTCTGAAGCATATTGTTTGATAGGATTGGTCACTCTGTGGATGTCTGACTGTGAGGGATAAATGATGGTTTTATTTAATTTTATAGGTGTACTATGAGTGTATGTGTTTTACATTGTTAACTGATTTAGATTTCAATTTAAGTTATTTTTCTTTCACCATAGTCCTTTAAATGTAAGTGAATAAGATACAGAAATATGGTGACTCATTTAAAGTTCAGTGGTACAATTTAAAAAAATTAATTCCGGAAAAATCTATGTTAAAATTTTAGTCTTTTAGCTTTTGCCTTGTGGTCTTACAGAATTTGACAAAGCACTCTCAACCTCTGATTCTTCTACCTAGAAATTAGAATAATAATCCATAAGCTAGTGTTGTTGTCCGTGGTGAGTGGAGGGGATATTTACTTCTATCATACCAGAGATTATTAACTTGTGCATATTTCTATTGAATTACCTACAATGGCAGGAAGCTGGGTAAAAACTAATAATAAATCAGGGAACTAAAGAAACTCAGCTACCCAGATATTAAATATGGGAACGATGCTTTGCTTATGGCAGATAGGACAAATATCTGATGTTCTTCTTGTGTATTTGTTCTTAAAACTTTTTTTGGAATTGACAACAAACAGCCTGAGAACCCAAAACTCTGTGTGATGGTTTTGTCAGATATATTTTCTCTTCATCTGTGTTATGGATTCCTTTTTCTGCTCTGAGAAGTTCCTTCATGACACCAACCAGAAAGCTAGCCTGGACAGTACATTTGGTTAGATCATAAGACAACATTTATAAAATGTCAAAAAGAGATAGGAGTGATAAATAACATAAACAGCTTTTTGTATTGTTCATAGAAAAAAGAATTAGTTTTATAACTAGTATTATATCAGATAATATGGGAACTCAGCATAACTTTCAAGCCAAAAACTTGAATTAAAATTAGTTTTATATTCAGAGTGTTTTCACTTCAAAGTGTCTTTTCATAACAGTAGCTGCTCTGAGAGAAAAAGAAATGTCTATTTACGTTTGAACTAGTTGTCTGAGCATTCATTTTAAACCATTACGTTATAATTTGTGAATCCTAGAAGTGTTATTTCACTGACATTAGTAAAATGCTGGAAAAACTAGCTTTTCAGGAATTGAAATGAAAATGATTGTACAGAGTTTGCTGATTATTGGTTATTAGAATGTAGAAAGAGAATGACAAAGTGAGTTGCCACAGAAATTAAGGGTTTACTTTCTCCATGATATGCCTTATAATCATAGATATTTCTGTATGTTGTCTGAACGTGCTGATATTTACTTGGAATTAATTTATCTGACTATTTTAATAATGGTTGTATTCTCAGGATTAGTTTCTAAATGCCAGCACCAAACACCACCACATTATGCCATTAACCACAAAAAAGGATCTGAGTTCTAAGCATTGTACCTAGTTGGGTTTTTCCTAAAAGGGACCTTCGAATGTTTCCATTAAAATATCTTGGTGAATTTTCCCCAAGTTCTAACAAACTATATCGAAATAGAACTTATTTCATGGTAAAAAGGAATCCCACAGCATTTCTTTTTAATAACTGTTCAGCTACAAAATTTTATTGGTATCTTTTTATGTTCCCTCTAGAGGATGTAATGCACAAAAGCATTGCCACGGAACATATAAAATTACAAATGAAATTTATTGTAAAAAGTAGAACGTCTTCTAGACTGGTGTCAGTATTTATTTCATTCATAAACCAAAACTTTAGTGTAATATATTCATTGCCAGCAAGTTCACGTGTGTAAATTGCCATCCAATGTTATTGACGGATATAAGACAGATATTGAAAAGACAATTTAAATTTACTCTTCCAAACATAAACTGTTCCACAAAAGCACTGTAAAAACTCCTCCAAGATTTTGGGTTGTGCTTGACTTTTATGGTTAACTACATAATTTGGTCGTGTCATAATCCACTGTGTTTGGCAATTTGGCATTAAACGCCTGCAGGGCGGATTGGATCCTCACCACCTCGCTAGTAGACAGCTTGAGTCTATGACGAAGCAAGCAAGAGAAAAGATCTAGAAGACGCTGACCAGGTGGGGAGAGTTTATTTACACGGTCTCTTATCTCTAGTAACTGCAAAAGTGCTGAGTCCTGGGATCCCTGAGTATAGGGGTAGTCCAGCTGCAAAATCAGGTCCCGAATTGCTTCAGGATCAAAATGCATGCTATAGCCAAACACTTGAATGTTGTTGATTTTCATGTAGCCCAGGTTCCGGGAAGGGTCAATAAACTCCAGAGGTTCATAGTAAATGCTCTCATTGCCATTGGGGCCGTTGGATTTAATGCGACTCCTCAAGTAGATGTGCACTGTCTCAAAGAACGTCTTCCACTTGTTCCCCAGAGTGAGCGTCCAGTTGTAGCACTGCAGAGGGAGGTCCAACTTAGTCCGCTCCCAGTCTGGAAAGCTGTTTTCGTTCACAGGCATGAACCAGCTCTCAGAGTGGCTGCCTCCGAAGGGATTGACATAGACAGCCAACACTGGCTCCAAGGTGCTGTTTTTAGTTAGGCATATCTGTAAGGAGAGCCCCAAGATCATGTGCACCAGGCTCGACTTGTACTTGTTGCTCTTTAAGGTGAGCAGCATCCGCTTGCGCCAGGAGGGATCGAACCAGCTGTTGAGGCGCATGTCATTGCTGATAAAGATGGCATGGACCTCTATGCGCCGGTCCGTTTTCTGCAACAGGTATTTCATCTCGACGTCCTGCAGGTCAGTCTCAAAGCCAATGTAATGGTCAGTGGACTCGGCGACTTCGGGCTTGCAGAGGCCCTGGCTCAGCATGTAGCCTGTGTTGCAGGCGCCGCAGCGCGTGCGGTTGTCAGGTGCGCAGGTGAGGCAGGCGGAGGCGTCGCCCACTGTGCAGGGCAGGAAGGAGGTGCAGACCACCTGGTCACTGGGACAGGTGCACGAGTGTGTCTCTTCCGAGAAGCTGCCCAGGAGGCCATTTTCATTGCAGTAGAGAAAAGACTGGATGCGCGTGAGCCAATAGGTTGAGGTTCTAGAAATACAAAACAAAGCGAATCTAAATAAATACAGAGACTTGGTGTGTGCTCCCAAGTATGAGCTGAGATTAAATATACCTCAGAAAGCTTTCCTGTAATTTTTTTCAGTCATATCCCGGCCAATGACTACATGAAATAAAAGATCCATTTTAAATACATATATATACGCATATATATTCCTTTTATCACTGCACAAGACAGAAAAATAGATGGAGAGTTTGAATCAAGCTGGAACATGATCTTTGTAAGCATGTGATACTTTCAAGAAATTACATGCCACGTCATTAGCGTGCTTAGAAGCAGATTATAAATATAATTGCTTCAGCTATTGTTTTTGTTTTGTTATTGTTTGTTTTGCTTTGGGTTTTCTTGGTGGTATTGGGGTTTGAAATCAAAGTCTTGTGCTTGCTAGACAGGCACTCTACAGCTTGAGGCATACCTCCAGCCCCAAAACAATCTACTTATTGTTTTGAAATGATAACTAACAGTAGTTTTACCATAAAATAGAGTAAAATTAAAGCATATGAATAGTGATTGATCATTCATTATTTTTAATTACATAGAGCACTAGTGTTACAGAAAGTCTGAACATAAAGTAAAAAGAAAAATGAAAGAAAAAACAAGTATATATTTTTAATCAATGTGCTTAGAAGCTTTTTGTTGTTGTTGTTTGTTTGTTTTTTTAGCAACATTGAAAGAATAAGTACCCACCTAGAGGGAAAATATTATCAATAAATATGCTTAATTCTGGAACAGGGTGCTCAAGAAAGTAGTTGAAAATATTTCATTAAAACATCAAGATTGGGGATATGTAAGAAACCCAAAAAATGATAGTATTTGATGTCCCCACTGCATGATAGTATTTGATGTCCCTGTGATAGTATTTGATGTCCGCAATACAGAAACCTTAAAGTGACAGAGTTCAATATGAGAAGGGGATAAAGAACTAGTTAAAAGGTCGGTTAGAGATGAATGAACTTCGGTTGTAACACATTTGTACGTGAAAGCAGTGCTAGGAGTTTCTATATAGCTACCCTTATCTCAACTAACAAAAACGCTTTGTGTTTCTTATTATTGCTTATACTTTCTCTTCAACAAAATTAGAGATAAGGGCAGAACAGATTTGGCCTGAAAGCGAGGGGGGCTGGCTAGGGGGAGAAATGGCCCAAACAATGTTTGCACATATGAATAATGGAATATAAAAAAAAAAAAAAAACAAGATTGGACTGTAGAGTGCCTGCCTAGCAAATGTGAAGCCCTGAGTTTAAAGTCGAGTGTTGCAAAAAAAAAAAAAAATCAATACTTTTTTTCATAAGGGTTAAATGTGTTAGTTTAATGTGTTTGGTTACATATTTTTTTATTGTTGTGTTGGTAGGGGTACATTGTAGCATTTACAAGTATTCTTATATTAAATATATCCCACTTGAATTCACCCCATCATTTACTTAATCTCCCCCTCCCCCATTCTGGGAATAGTTTCAACAGTTCCATTCTTCCATTTACATACAGGTGTACACAGTATTTTCACTAATCATTAACTTTTTTTTAATGAGGCTAATCTAACACCAGTTGAAATTCTTCCTTTTCCTATTTTACTATATTATTCAAAACTCTGCTTTGTTGAGAATCTCATTGTAATAGTGAGGGAAGTGGTGGTCTTATCATCAGATAATTCCTTGTTGTCCCATGTTCATTTTTCATCCTGGCCGAATGGTCATGGGAAAGGGTGCATGGACTCTGTACTTTACAGTTCTCTAGTGAAAGTAGGACGTCGTCCATGTGGAATTTTTCTGAGAAGTAAATTAGGCTCAAGCTGAATGCACATGTGTAAAGCTTTGTGCAGTGTCCATTTTGCTACTCGAAAAATAAATTATTTTGATATTCTTATACCTTTCTGATGTTATATTTAGTGAATTTTATATTAGTATAGAATACTGGTAAATCTATTTTTTCTCTTTTTTAATTTATTTTTTTCCTTATTGTTGTGCCAGGTGGGAGTGCATTGTGGCATTTACACAGAAATACATTATACGTGAATTCACCACCTCTGCCATTCTCCTTTATCCCCTTGCCCCTATTCCTGGAATAGTTTTGACAGGTATTGTTTTTGGATTTACACTGGGAAATCTCTTTAAATAAATAAAACAAAGATATTCAAAACACAACATGTATTTGTGTTACATATCAGTTTTTGGTCTCGTTCCATCCTCCACTTGAGTGGTTAACACATTGTTCAAGGTAAACTTGTTCCTAGATAAATTAAATACGTCCTTTATTCTTATATCATCTACTTATTTTCCTTCATAGCATCTTTTTCTGCATAACACATTATATTAGTGTGTATTTACTTACTTAATCTCTGTACTCTCATTAAGTATGACACACAGTTTGCCAGAGTTCTATATGTTTTGTTCATAACTGCATTTCAAGTGCTCAGAATGCCAGCAAATCATAAACTCCTAATATTTATCGATTATTGAATAAAGTATATGGGATTATTCTCAATGTGTGTATTTTTAAGTGAAATTTGAACTTTAACCTGAACATTGAGTACAGTTGCCAAGTCCTATTTCCCGTGTTGCACGTAGTAGAGATAAAAATGTACTTTTTCATTTACACAATCAAATGCATTCAAAGTTCTATTTTGTCCATCTTCTCTAAAAGAAATTATGTCCTATAAATCCAGAGAAAGGGGGAAAAAAGTAATCCAAACCAAACCATAAAACATTTTCTTTTAATTATAGTCCACACTGAAAACTAGTGACTAGATTCACAGTAGGATTTCAATTTCCTTCCAAGTTCTTAGGTCAGAAACATGGTTCCCAATGGAGCAATGTTGAGGGGGACCCTAATTGGGAAAAATGTGGGTTATAGGATCAGCACCTTCATGAATAAATTACTTCCATTTTTGTGGAAGTAGATTCCTTATAATAGGGCAGGTGTGGCCCCTGTTGGTCTCTCTCACCTCTTTGATCTGCCAGGAGCTGACACAGTAACACAGCAGGAAGGTGCTGACCAATCGCTAATGCCTGAATCTTGGTCTTCACACCCTCAGAAGTATGAGTGCATGCATTTGTGTTCATCATAAATTAACCAATATCTGCTTTATAGCACAAGTGAGCTAAAATAATTCATTAAGCTAAATAATTCATTTAAATTATTCTAAATTAAGTTTTCTGAAAAGCTCTCCCAGGACATTCCCAATGCCCAAAGAATGTCAAATAAAGATGTGAAGCTATCTGCAATTATTGGCTTACATATTAAATTCTTTCTTTCTTTCTCTCCTTCTTTCTTTCTTTTCTTCTTTTCTTCCTTCCTTCCTTCTTTTTTCCTCTTTCCCTTTCCTTCCTCTCTCATTTCCTTTTATGCTTCTTGTTTGATTTAAATCTTTCTAATATAAAGTATATAAAATATATATTCCATCTGGTTCAAGAATTATATTTTCTTTTCTGAAACCAAAGCATAAATTCTCTGAGTCAACTCATTCTCACTATAAGCTCTAGTTGTGTTTTGAAATCATAAGGACAAAACAAAAAATGAAACAAATAGACCTAAGGCTAAAGATGGAGCTTACAAAACTAGGACTCAGTAGAAAAAGCAATGGCTTTTCATTTCTACACTTTTAAGAAAAAAGGCTTTTCTGACTTTTAGTCCTTTCCAGTCTTTTCCATGTTCCTGCAAATGCATTACTGAGGGACTGTGTTTTGAACTCTTGGATTTCACTTTGTCATGTCTGAACACTCATAGCTCAGAACACACCAGAAGCTCTGGTACTCTGGTACAGAAAAGCTAGCAAGCAGATTTTCCTACTTGCTACTTCTTGTTCTTCCTCTTACTACCAACTTTGCCTATTATACTGTACTTCTCAAGGTGGGAATACATTTCTCAAAGGAAAAGAAATTCAATAATCTGTCTTTTCCTCACTTTTAGTAAAATCTTGGTGTAAGCAGTAGTCAAAAATAGAGACTAAGCAAGTTTCAGGATTGCATACTGGATGTTTCACTTAAGCAGAATTTCACTAGTGAGTTCTTTTCCTCGACAAAGTAAAATTTAGTTGGTATTTCTGTATTTTGTAACATGACAAATAGTTTTTGAAGAGAAATATCTTGAAAATCCCAAGTTAGGTTGTATTAGGTTTATTTTCACTGTTTCCTTTCATATCATGTAGTAAAACACAATAAATAATTGTATATTTTATTTATACATGTATTTTATGTGTATATATACTTACATACACCTATATAAGTGTATATATATATATATATATATATATGTATATGTATAATGTATCACTTTGACTTAGATCAACTATTTAAGATCTGCTGGGACTAAGAACTGAAAGTGTGATATTGAAAAGTGAACTACAAACTAGGTGGAAGACAAGCAGATCTTAATGTCAATTTATCAAACATGTGGCATTGTTCCTGACTTTTATTTAACAGCAACTCACAGAATAAAGGAATAATGAAGGAAGGAAGAGAAGAAGGAGAAAGGCACTAAGAAAAAGGAAGAAGAAAACATTGTGGAACAGGAAATATGGATTATGGAAGAACAGAAGGAAACTAGGAGAAGACAGACTTCAAAACAATTGTGAGAAATGCAGTGTTATGGACCAAGGCAAGGATAAAGAAACTGCCTACCTATTAGGAAGAGAATTTTCATTTTGTAACTACTTTTTCAGAAAAGCTTTGAAAGAATAGTATAAAAAGAGAAAAGTATCTTCCAGAGTTAATTTAAAATTTGTTTTGAAAAAAAATCATTTGCTAAAAAAAATTTTGAAAAACTCCAGCAGCATTTAAATCATTGAAAAATTATGTGGCATTCTGATTTGGGAAGACTCTATGTTGCTTGTGACATTCTCCATGTATTTAAGAGTTGCTGTTCTCCATGGATACATATTTTGTGAGTGTCAAAAGAGCACTTGACTAGGGAGTCTGCATGCCTGGTTTCCAAGCCAGATTGTACTCTGTGGTCTAGGAAATGTACTTTACCTCTT